ATGCTGTGACCGCTATCGCTATATGCTGTGACCGCTATCGCTATATGCTGTGACCGCTATCGCTTTATGCTGTGACCGCTATCGCTTTATGCTGTGACCGCTATCTACTGTGATCAATACTTGCGGATACTCTGCTGCTGGCGGCGCCTATCCGGAAGGAGTGAGCTGCGTAGAGATGGGGAGACAGGTTACAGCAGCAGTACGGACTTTAGTTGGGCTCTGACCCCGTTGGATGACATTGGGAGGTGATCGGGGGTGAGAAATAACGGTCCGTTGAGATCTCCTTTCCGAGAGCGGAGGCGAGTGTAATGCATCATGTGTTATCTTTGCGCGCTGGGAACGTGAGCGTTCGCATCACATTCCGTCAGACGCTGCGGCAGCGAAGAGTGTTTGAGAAGTGCGTGCCGCCACCAGAATCTTATTGCTTCACTTACTTTGCGTCGTATTGCTTTGCTGGGAGCTTACGAGGAAGCCAGTAGGCGTTGTGCAGCCAGGATAGCGGACGCGTCTGGCCTGATGTAGGCGGAGAAGGCCGAAGAGGACCAGCACCCCAGCTGTTGGAGAGAAGTGTGGGGGAGCCCCAGCGAGGTCGCGCGCGTGGCAGCGCCTATCCTGAAGGAGTGGGCTGTATGGAGCTGGGGAGACAAATTGCAGAGGAGCAGTAGGGATCTCAGCTGAGCTCTGAACCAGGTTGCTGTCATGGGAAGGTTGTCTGGAGAGAGATGTGTCGGAGCGAGCTATTATGTTGCAGGCGCCTTGGTCTTTGAATGTTTGAGATGGAGGTTGAAAGGGTCAGGGGACATTATGTTGGGTGAAAAAGAGCGACCTTTGTGTAATGCTTCCACTACGTCGAGATTATCGCGCATGACAGAGATCCTCTTTCTCTGCCACGTGTGATTCCGCGGCGCGCAGGCCACGGCCGCTGGGAATATCTCGTGTAGGGCAGAGGAGATGCTCCGGTGGAAGTAGCGGCCACGGCCCGGCAACCCGATGGTCCTGGAAGAACCCCCCAAAACCCACGGAAGGGACACGTCCGTGTAGAGGCGGAGACCTGTAGGGGCAGAGACATGTCGGAGAGGGCCATTGATGTTGCAGGCGCCCTTACGCTTAGAATCTTGGGTTGGAGAGTAGATAATCAGGATAGTAGGATGGTCGGGAAGCCGCGTCTCGGACCGCATGAAGGTTGAGTGAGCAGTAGTGAAACGCTTATGCAGAGAAGCTATAGAAGGAGAGCAGGAAGATGCTGCGAGGAGGGCAGACATGTACTTGGAAGATGAGCCGGAGTTCAGCGCCGCTGCAGGATGGGCAGCATGATGGGGAGCCTGCGATCAGAAGAGTGAAGAACACAGGTATGGATGCCTTTGATTAGGAGTCCGATTGACGGCTCAGCGCAGCTACTCGGCCAGCTGCATCTGATAGAATCAGAAGATTTAGGTAGAGAGATGAAGCATGACCGCCGAAGCGACCCTGGGAGCATAGGTGCGAGGCCAGCGCAGCGCGGCATACTCAGCCGGGCAGCATCCATAGAAACAGGATAGCTTCTGAGAGAGTGGGTTGCAGCAGTAGCAGTAGCAGCAGCGGCAGCAGCAGTACCTCAGATAATAACAGCGATAACCTGTATCAAGCCGCAGCAGTAGCAGCATCCTTAGAGATTAACAGTAATAATCCTGTATCAAGCCACAGCAGTAGAATGTTGTCGTAGCTGATCAGTGTTTCATAGCTGTTCAGTGTGAGGGATTTAAACAGGTTTTACGGTCCAGTGATTTAAACAGGTTTTACGGTCCAAGTGAGGGATTAACTGAGCCCGCAGTCCAAGTGAGGAGTTTAAACTGAGAGCTTACGGTCCAGTGAGAGGGATCTAACAGAGCCTGCAGTTTTTTTTGTTTTTTTTTATATTTATTTATATTTATTTATATTTATTTGTTTGTATTTATTTACATGTATTTATTTATATGTATTTATTTATTCATTTATTTATTTTTAATATATAGCGTTCCAGATATAGGCAGTACCATATATGCAGTTCCATGTACTGCATGACAGTTCCAGGTATAACAGTACCATATAAGCAGTTCCAATATAGCGGTTCCATATGAAGCAGTTCCATATGAAGCAGTTCCAGAACGGTACAGCAGTTCCAGATATAAGCATTTCCAGATATAAGCATTTCCAGATATAAGCATTTCCAGATATAAGCATTTCCAGATATAAGCATTTCCAGATACAAGCATTTCCAGATATAAGCATTTCCAGATATAAGCATTTCCAGATATAAGCATTTCCAGATATAAGCAGTTCCGTGAGGGACTAACCTGAGAGCTCACAGACCAATGTAAGGGATCATTTTGGGAGCCGCAGTCCGAGGGATTTAAACAGGGCTTGCGGTCCGAAGAGAGGGATTTAAACAGAGCTCGTAGTCCAGACAGGGATTTAAACAGAGCCTGCAGGCCAAAGTGAGGGATTAAAACTGAGGTCTTGCAGTCCAATGTGAGGGATTACGGAGCTTGCAGTCAGAGTGAAAGATTTAACGGAGCTTGGTTAAAGAGAGCCTGCAGACCAATGCAAGGGCTTTAAACTGAGCCTGCCCACCGATGCACGGGGCCGACTGAGCCTGCAGTACAATGCGAGGGGAATAACCGTGCGCAGATCTCGTACTTACCCACAGCGCCAGAAGACAAGGGACAACACAACGGGACCACACCGTACCGGCACGAGGAGGCAGGGATGCGCACGGCTCCCACCGCACCGGGCCAGACCGGCCGTATGCAGCAGCAGGCCGCGACGAGACGAGCAGCGGCAAACCCGCGGAAAGAGCCCGCTAGGAGGAGAGCGGCAAAGACCCACGGACCACAGCACGAGACCCGCAGCAGGAGCAGCCACAGGAGGAGCAGACCACACGCAGCAAGACAGAGGACAGCAGGGACACGCACGAGTAAGCGTGAGTAGACAAAAGCGATTCCTCCAGAACGATTCTTTGCAAGGCTTCAGAGGTTGCAAGGCTTCGGAGGCCGAGAGAGTGGGAGTTCCTCCGTTTTTATGCGGCTGGCGTAGTCGGTACGGTGATTGGAAGGGGGCGTCTGTTGAGCGATAGGCTGGGGATGCGAGCCGGCCTGGAGGGGTAATTTTGGTTAACGTCTACCAAATTGAATTTTCGCGGGCTGCATAACTGTTTAGAAAAAGGTCTTCAACAAACAGTTTACTGACATGAGCAGGTTAAAAATATAGATTATTTAATTTGGGAGTATGATATTATTTAATATAAATTAGTACTTTCATTTACTAACAGGAACATTATTTGTTTACAAGTGGCGTTTAAAAAACAGTTTAGCTACATAGAAAATGTATGTTTCTGTTCTCTTTTAGAGGTTTTTTATATGATTAAGCTGTAAATAAGCCATGACAGAAAATCTCCCTCCTCTGGACCCTGATTACCCGGCCGGAATCTTTCCGTACTGTAGTCTCCTCAAACCTGCATATTTCCCAGGAGCCTCCACTTCACTAAGACTGTGTTGATTTCATTCATTCAGCTGTGATTTGCACTGATAGACAATAATTAATGCATTTAATAGAACTTGATCAAATCTACATTTATTTGTGTTTCATGCAAAATATCGGTGTATTTGGCCCCCGGCCGACTGGCAAATTTTTACTTTGGCCCTTGGAAGCAAAAGGTTTGGGCACCCCTGACGTAATGTATCCGAAGCAGAGCCGAGCAGAGCAGCCGGTTTTAAAGATGGCGGTTGAGTTGTTTTTCCCAACTCAACCGCCATCTTTATGTGTTACGTGCCCGGAACACGTCCCACCGGGAGGAGACCCGGGGAAGACCCAGGACACGCTGTCTCTCAGCTGGCCTAGGAACGCCTTGGGGTCCCCCCGGACGAGCTGGAGGAAGTGTGTGTGGATAGGGAAGTCTGGGCGTTTCTGCTAAAGCCTAGTTTATACTCGCGCGGCGCGGAGCTTACGGAGGTGACGTGACGTCACTTGCGCAACGCGTTGGTCACCGCAAGGCCCTTACGTCGCCTGCCGCGCAGCATCGAAATTTTCTAACTACGTAAGGGTCGCCGCAAGGAATCTCCGCTGTGATTGGTCTGTGTGTGTGTTGGAAGGAAGCACGGAGCGGCTGCAGCAGGGACAATGGACGAGGCACTATGGAGCAGAGAGCTTTGTGCTTCGAAGGAAAAACAGTTTGGGCTCAGAGCCTGATATACAAGAGACTGTGGACTATCTAACATATATATAACTTATAAACTGTGCAGTCGTTTGTTTTGCACTGTTCCTGTCTTTGTTTGTCTCAGATATTTACCACTATTATTGTTTTGCTGTTTGTGCTGAAAACTATTTAATAATAACTATGTTTCCAACAAGAACTGTGTCTTTATTCACAGAATCACAGTTGAAATGACTTATAAAATAATGAATCCATAAAACTATCACATAAACCTACAGTAGAAACACGTGTAATGAGCTCAAACAGCTTTGTTTGCTATTGTTGTTCTGAAGAGGACACAGTAGCAGCGTAAATGGGACCGCTCTTGTGAGATCGCCCTCATGTGGTTTGTTGTGGGATTACAACATTCTCCTCAAAACTCCGTAAGGGGAACGCGCCAGTATAACATCAATTGTGCTTACGTAGGTCCACCGCAACCGCTAACGTAAGCCACGCCGCGCAAGTATACACTACGCTTTAGACTGCTGCCCCCGCGACTCGGCAACGGATGAAGTGGAAGAAAACGGACGGACGGACGGATATCTCAAAAAGTTACTAATAATAGTCATAAAGGACAACAGCGCATAAAGGTCACAGCTGCTGGGAGGACAATACTTAACTTGGGTTGGTATTTTAGTCGAAAAACTCTCACATAACTGTATGTGCTGCAGAGTCGCGCCAATCCAGGGCTGTGATTGGTTGGTGAGACAAACAAGGGCAGGAGCCACTGATAAGGAGTGCCACTCCTTATCAGTGCTAAAGTTACTAAATCCAGTCAGTGCTGGGTTTAGCGATGGAGAAACAAGTGACTAATCTGCTGCTGCTTCTGCTGTGCCCTGTCCTTGTGGCTCACGTACCGGACCAGGACCTCCACACAGTGCTCCGGGATGTGAGAGCAGCTCTGGCTGAACACAAGGTGAAGATTGAGCTGCTGCAAACTCTCAACCAAGGTCAGACTTCTGCTTCCACAGACAAAAAATATTCTTATTGGTTCTTCCCGCTCCCATCCTGCCACCTGTGTTCCCCGCCTTCTTAGATTTGGTTTAGCTCTGGTTTGGTTTGCTTAGTTTTGGTTCGGTTGATTTGTGGTCTATTTTCTACACACCATTCAACACTGCCGACATACTCTCACCGCACATACACTCGCACCCACACTCACTACAGACTTCCACACCTCATTAAAACATTAACGTTGGTGATTAATCCATATTATTTCAATTGGTAACGGTTTGGGGTGTTTCTGTCAGACAACAGAAAAGTCCCCAATTAATTTCTATATATAGTTTTTATTTTATTTATTCATCTGACTCTGCACAATAAATGTATTGTTCAGGCCAGACACAACTACAAGGTTTGCAGTGTGCAAAGGTAAATAGAACAACTTAGTTACAGTTCTCTGGGAACCTTCTTCCTATTTTCTACAGTCTGAGTCCTGGATTTACAGCATCAGTCCTCGTTCTACAGTCTGAGTCCGCACACACTTTATACACTTTTCTACCACCTGAAGTGAGATAGACCAGAGAGAGAGCGAGAGAAAGACCAAAGAGAGATACAAGAGAGAGACGGACCAGGGAGACTAGAGACTAGAGAGACCAGAAATCAGAGAGAGACCAAAGACAGACCAGGATGAGACTCGAGAGAGACTAGAGAGACCAGGGTGAGACTAGAGAAAGACTAGAGAGAGACTTGAGATACCAGAGAGACTGGAGAGAGACCAGAGCGAGACCGGAGACAGACCAGAGAAAGACCCAAAGAGCGAGCAGAGAGAGACAAGAGCGAAACTAGAGAGACCAGGATGAGACTAGAGAGAGACCAGAGAGAGGCCAGAGAGAGACTGGAGAGACCAGAGAGACACCAGAGGGAGAGACTAGTGAGAGACCAGAGAGAGACCAGATCGAGAGCAGATCGAGAATAGCGAGAGATCAGAGACAGACCAGAAAGAGAAACCATAGAGAGAGACCAGAGACACCAGAGTGAGACTAGAGAGAGACCAGGGTGAGACTATAGAGAGACTAGAGACAGAAGGAAGAGACCATGGTGAGAGACCAGATAGGGAGCAGAGAGAGACCAGCGAGAGACTTGATTGGCATTTCGTTGACACAAAGACAGTGTTTCAGGGGGGTGAACAGATCAGATACGCTGTGTCACAGCTTTGAGAAGAAAAAAGGTGTGAATTATTTGGCTGCTATGACCTCACCCTGCCGCACTGTTATGGGCCTTGCCGTTTGTGGTTTTCCTTGCCTCCACCCCTTTCAGCTAGGCCGCCTCTGCACCACCCATTGGCTGGTGACGGGCACCTGCTGGATGCCAACCGGCCCAGGCATAAAAAGGCCCCAGGCCCAACTGAGAGCTGACATCTGCGTCCAACGCTGCGTCTTTGTTTATACACATGCTTTGTATTTTTGTTATTATGAGATCCTGAGTTCTGTACAATTTGTGAGATAATAAAGGATTGATTGATTAAACCTATTATTTTTACGTAGAGTCTACGTCTACGACCTCTCACCTTCATCTTTTACATCATTCCACACCCGGTTATTCACAACAGACGTTACGTGCTACCACCCTCAGACTTGGATGATAGTGTGTTACTCGGATACTTGGTCTGACCATGTCCAGACAATGTCTGAGGTTTTTTGTCGTCTTTCTAAAGCCTATCTAACGCTGAACTTGGCGAAATGTGATTTTGGCAAGGCCTCTGTTACCTTGGGAAGGTTGTTGGCCATGGACAAGTGAGGCCTGTGGATGCGAAAGTTGAGGCTGAGTCTGGCACATAATACGCACGTACATTTGGACATGCGCAGTAGCTGAGAAAAGTAAACAATCGGATCAACTAATGTACATGTGCTTCGAGCGTTACACAGAAAATAAATTTACTTCTTTAAGTTTCCATTTAAACAAAGAAAGGGGGGCCAAAGGGACCAGTGGAGGGGATGTAACCTGACCTGTATGAACAGGGCCAGCATTAGTCATATCTCATAATTAGCAAGTTATCATTACACAATAAAAAGTCACATATACATATATTCAATCAGTCAGAGTACTCATTCTCAAATCAATGCACCATATACAATAATGCAAATATTAACATAGCTTTTTGCACATAATCAAAACAACAATCTAACGTATGCAAACTTTTTCAGGAGGAGCACAGAATAAACATGCTCATAATATTAGGCCTAGGCGCAGACACAGAACATTATTAGAACAAGCCAATAGAGCAGCGGAGGCTAGCGCTAGCTACTAGCTCTCTGCAGACATCAAAACGATGTCACTCAGCAGATCCTCTTTAAAACACGTCAGTGTGACAACCGCGTCAATTCAATTGTAGGAGGTGCCTTCAGAGAAAGCATATCAGTTCGCAGAGCAAAAAATGATGTTAGATTGCAGAAAATACCTGCATCTCGCTCAATCCTGGCGTCCATGGGCTTCCCCACGACAACACACCCATCAGTAAACGGAGTGCTCTTATTTTGGTGTTGCTACAGGGACCGCGGGAACTCTCGTTCAAACTACCGCTAGGATCATTTTCTTCAAAAACAGCATAAATAAAATAGAGATGCGCCGAACGGTAAAAATGACCCGGGTTATACAAGTCTGTACAAGCCAATAGGTGCAAGTCCAGGTGAAAGTCAGAGTCATGAATGTTTCTTATTTTGTCAAGACCAGTTTAAAGTCATCAAATTCATGACTCGAGCCCACACCACTGACGGAGCCTGGTTGTTTTTGTAAATTGCTTTGGAACGTCTCCATCTAAACAGGGCCTTTCATAAACATTTGTTCGTTTGATTCTATTCATAAGAAGTGTGACTTTTGTGTTTACAGAACAAGCAGCCAAACTTGAAGAACTCACTCCTCTGAAGGACCTGCTCCGAGGCGAGTATTATGTGAAACATTTTTGAGTTTATTCCAAACAGAGGGACTAACAGTTGATTTATATCTCAGAACTGACAGAGCGACTGGGAGAGCTGCAGACCGGTCAAGAGGAGCAACTCAGGAGACGCAGACAAAGTATGAGATTACAGTTACTGGTTTGAGATTACAGTTTCTGATATTTGTAGAAGAGAAATCTGAGGATGAGAGGTAAACAAAAGCTAACTGTACAGATTTTGCTGTTACATAGTAATTTCACACCTGAGAACAGACTTGGACCACACGCTGGACTCGGAGAGAGGCTGCATGGGCTGACCATAGATGGCGCTGATTCAGTTTTTCCCCGCTGTCAATCACCTCTTGGAGGTGGGCTTTTGACGTCATGGACTGTGACGGTTTGGGAGCCAAGCTAAGTTTAGTTAGTTTGCTATTTTGCATGATGATCTTTTACATCATTCCACACCCGGTTATTCACAACAGACGTTACGTGCTACCACCCTCAGACTTGGATGATAGTGTGTTACTCGGATACTTGGTCTGACCATGTCCAGACAATGTCTGAGGTTTTTTGTCGTCTTTCTAAAGCCTATCTAACGCTGAACTTGGCGAAATGTGATTTTGGCAAGGCCTCTGTTACCTTGGGAAGGTTGTTGGCCATGGACAAGTGAGGCCTGTGGATGCGAAAGTTGAGGCTGAGTCTGGCACATAATACGCACGTACATTTGGACATGCGCAGTAGCTGAGAAAAGTAAACAATCGGATCAACTAATGTACATGTGCTTCGAGCGTTACACAGAAAATAAATTTACTTCTTTAAGTTTCCATTTAAACAAAGAAAGGGGGGCCAAAGGGACCAGTGGAGGGGATGTAACCTGACCTGTATGAACAGGGCCAGCATTAGTCATATCTCATAATTAGCAAGTTATCATTACACAATAAAAAGTCACATATACATATATTCAATCAGTCAGAGTACTCATTCTCAAATCAATGCACCATATACAATAATGCAAATATTAACATAGCTTTTTGCACATAATCAAAACAACAATCTAACGTATGCAAACTTTTTCAGGAGGAGCACAGAATAAACATGCTCATAATATTAGGCCTAGGCGCAGACACAGAACATTATTAGAACAAGCCAATAGAGCAGCGGAGGCTAGCGCTAGCTACTAGCTCTCTGCAGACATCAAAACGATGTCACTCAGCAGATCCTCTTTAAAACACGTCAGTGTGACAACCGCGTCAATTCAATTGTAGGAGGTGCCTTCAGAGAAAGCATATCAGTTCGCAGAGCAAAAAATGATGTTAGATTGCAGAAAATACCTGCATCTCGCTCAATCCTGGCGTCCATGGGCTTCCCCCACGACAACACACCCATCAGTAAACGGAGTGCTCTTATTTCGGTGTTGCTACAGGGACCGCGGGAACTCTCGTTCAAACTACCGCTAGGATCATTTTCTTCAAAAACAGCATAAATAAAATAGAGATGCGCCGAACGGTAAAAATGACCCGGGTTATACAAGTCTGTACAAGCCAATAGGTGCAAGTCCAGGTGAAAGTCAGAGTCATGAATGTTTCTTATTTTGTCAAGACCAGTTTAAAGTCATCAAATTCATGACTCGAGCCCACACCACTGACGGAGCCTGGTTGTTTTTGTAAATTGCTTTTGAACGTCTCCATCTAAACAGGGCCTTTCATAAACATTTGTTCGTTTGATTCAATTCATGAGAAGTGTGACTTTTGTGTTTACAGAACAAGCAGCCAAACTTGAAGAACTCACTCCTCTGAAGGACCTGCTCCGATGCGAGTATTATGTGAAACATTTTTGAGTTTATTCCAAACAGAGGGACTAACAGTTGATTTATATCTCAGAACTGACAGAGCGACTGGGAGAGCTGCAGACCGGTCAAGAGGAGCAACTCAGGAGACGCAGACAAAGTATGAGATTACAGTTACTGGTTTGAGATTACAGTTTCTGATATTTGTAGAAGAGAAATCTGAGGATGAGAGGTAAACAAAAGCTAACTGTACAGATTTCGCTGTTACATAGTAATTTCACACCTGAGAACAGACTTGGACCACACGCTGGACTCGGAGAGAGGCTGCATGGGCTGACCATAGATGGCGCTGATTCAGTTTTTCCCCGCTGTCAATCACCTCTTGGAGGTGGGCTTTTGACGTCATGGACTGTGACGGTTTGGGAGCCAAGCTAAGTTTAGTTAGTTTGCTATTTTGCATGTAGCACAAACTGTATAGTGTTAACAATTTGTTTGTATTTTTATAGAAATATTTTAGTAAAGCAACCTGAATTAACACCAAATAGTTATGAGTGTAAGTTATTAACTAATAGTGAACTCTGGATTCAGATACAGGCCATAATGCTCTGTTGGCTCAGGTCAGTGATAGATGTAGACGTGCTGCATCATGTCTTTGACCTGGGTCATAGAACAATATGTTCAGTTCAAAAGCAGATTGTTACATATATCAGAGTTGTATCAGCGTTAGGACGCGTAAAGAGAAGCCTTGAGCGACACATATCAATGTTGACTTCATCTCTGTAATATCTAGAGTAGATATGTGTTTGTTTACTCTGGTCTATTTAATGTACAGTCATTTCCTCAATCGTGGCAGTCGATTTCAGGCGGCTGCCCGGTGGTATTGGTATCGGTTCTGTTATTCATTGTAATTGTGCACATTTACTAATGAATAAACTTACACTTTGTTTGGAATTACAGCTCTTAGTTGTTTACATTATTTTACTCTCGTTATGTGCAGAATTTCCACAACAGTATATTTTTTAAAAACTGGTAATATCTTATCTAGCGTTATTTGTTTGATTAATATTTGACGTAAGCCTCCGCTGAAAGATCAAGGCTGTGCTCTGAGCAACAGAGATGCCTTCTGTGGACCCTCCACCCGCAGGATGATCAGTGAGGAGCAGTGAGGAGCAGTGAGGAGCAGGGGGATCAGCTAGGAGCAGTGAGGAGCAGGGGGATCAGTGAGGAGCAGTGAGGAGCAGGGGGATCAGTGAGGAGCAGTGAGGAGCAGGGGGATCAGTGAGGAGCAGGGGGATCAGCTAGGAGCAGTGAGGAGCAGGGGGATCAGTGAGGAGCAGGGGGATCAGCTAGGAGCAGTGAGGAGCAGGGGGATCAGTGAGGAGCAGGGGGATCAGCTAGGAGCAGTGAGGAGCAGGGGGATCAGTGAGGAGCAGTGAGGAGCAGGGGGATCAGTGAGGAGCAGTGAGGAGCAGGGGGATCAGTGAGGAGCAGTGAGGAGCAGGGGGATCAGTGAGGAGCAGTGAGGAGCAGGGGGATCAGCTAGGAGCAGTGAGGAGCAGGGGGATCAGTGAGGAGCAGTGAGGAGCAGGGGGATCAGTGAGGAGCAGTGAGGAGCAGGGGGATCAGCTAGGAGCAGTGAGGAGCAGGGGGATCAGTGAGGAGCAGTGAGGAGCAGGGGGATCAGTGAGGAGCAGTGAGGAGCAGGGGGATCAGCTAGGAGCAGTGAGGAGCAGGGGGATCAGTGAGGAGCAGTGAGGAGCAGGGGGATCAGTGAGGAGCAGTGAGGAGCAGTGAGGAGCAGGGGGATCAGTGAGGAGCAGTGTGGAGCAGGGGGATCAGTGAGGAGCAGTGAGGAGCAGGGGGATCAGTGAGGAGCAGTGTGGAGCAGTGAGGAGCAGTGAGGAGCAGGGGGATCAGTGAGGATCAGTGAGGAGCAGTGAGGAGCAGTGAGGAGCAGGGGGATCAGTGAGGATCAGTGAGGAGCAGTGAGGATCAGTGAGGAGCAGGGGGATCAGTGAGGAGCAGGGGGATCAGTGAGGAGCAGTGAGGAGCAGGGGGATCAGTGAGGAGCAGTGAGGAGCAGGGGGATCAGTGAGGAGCAGTGAGGAGCAGGGGGATCAGTGAGGAGCAGGGGGATCAGTGAGGAGCAGTGAGGAGCAGGGGGATCAGTGCTCTGTGTATCGGGTGGCAGCTGATTGCCACCACCCCGACCCTTTAGAACTAATGATTTTCTTAACTTAGAATATTTACGTTGCCGTCACTTTAAAGAGAGAGGTTTTGCTTTGTTTACGGAGCGAGTGGAGCCGAAAGAGCACGTAACTTTTTGCAGCTAAGAAATAAGGAGCCATACGGTTTTCTTACCGTTGTCACTTTATTTGAGAGACAACTCAGCAAATATACATGTGGTAAGACGGGCTTTGGAGACCTGTGCTATACCTGCCGCTCCGTGGCGCTGGCCCGGTGGGCAATAAAAGCGCTCCCAAATCTCAGCTGTATATATATTAACTTCAAAATCATCAGAATACGAACAAAAAAAAAGAGATTTTGCATTTGATTCAGTGGAGTACAAATACTTATATAACAAATATCACACTATAATTATTATATAACTTATAGTGAATAAACATCTGGAAAATGGACTGGATTTCATTTATTCACAACAGTGCCGTAGTATTTTAAAGTCTGTGTCTCATTCAATTCCATGTCACTTATAATAAAGAGATCAAAACAAGAGAACCATCTTCCTGTTTGGTTTGATTCTTTCAACTGATTTGTTGTGTCTGTTTTTCAGTCTGTTTCTCTGCCTCTTTATTCGCCTCTGGACACGGGTCTCTTGGACCAGAGCCCACTCACACTAATCTGATCTTCAGCTCTGTGGTGACAAACATCGGGAATGCCTACGACGCAGACACAGGTGAATGTACTCACATGGTTCCTGCTTTAGCTCCTGCTTCATGTAAGTATCAAGAATAGTTCCTGGTTTATTGCAGATTTTGTTTTAAAAGTAAGCCACAATAAGTAAATCCTCTCTGTAGCAGCTGCATGTTTTAAGGCTGTAAAACCAACACACTTTATAGACTTTTCTAATCTCCTGAACTCACGACTACTGAAGTGAGAGAGACCAGAGAGAGACCAGAGAGAGACCAGTGAGAGACTAGAGAAAGAACAGAGAGAGACCAGTGAGAGAGACCAGGGAGAGACTAGAGAAAGACCAGAGAGAGACCAGAGAGAGACCAGAGAGAGACCAGAGAGAGACCAGAGAGAGACCAGAGAGAGACCAGTGAGAGAGACCAGTGAGAGAGACCAGAGAGAGACCAGAGAGAGACCAGAGAGAGACCAGAGAGAGACCAGAGAGAGACCAGAGAGAGACCAGAGAGAGACCAGTGAGAGAGACCAGTGAGAGAGACCAGAGAGAGACCAGAGAGAGACCAGTGAGAGAGAGAGACCAGAGAAAGAACAGAGAGACCAGAGAGAGACCAGTGAGAGAAATTACACAGAGACCAGAACCAGTCCAGGACCGATCCAGAGTCAGCTCCCTGAAAAGAATAGAAGTGGAAATGCCTACAAATGAATGAAGCTAAAGGTAGAACTTTTCTCATTTCAATATAAATATAATAACAAATAACTTCATGAAAATAATGACAGAAATTAACAACATATAGAAACAGAAAACGTCACACAGAACAAAGAGGTACGCACACTGCATATTTACACTTCTGAAACTAAAAGCCGTCAATTCGACTGCTATTGTTCACAGGGTTTTTCACGGCGCCGCTACGAGGGGTCTATCACTTCAACTTCTTCATTGCTGGAGGTGGAGACGCCGGACACGGTTCTGGGGCGGTGCTGGTGAAGAACGGGCAGTATGTGGTTACGGCCTTCGAGCATCAGACAGAGGGGTTTAGCAGCACGGCTAACGGAGCCACACTGCTGCTAGAGGCCGGAGACGTTGTATATGTGCTTCAGTGGGCAGACACGGTCATCTACGACAATGAGATCCACCACTCCTCCTTCAGTGGTCACCTGCTTTTCCCCATGTCTGACCTGATCCAAGCTGGTGATAAATCAAACCTTCTTTAAAAAGTGATAATAATAATAGCAAAATGAAGTGATAAATCCAGGGGTTATTATCTTGAGCCATTCTGTCTGCCAATTGAGAATATTTTCTCATTCCTAGGAAGGCAACGTTAGTTACCATAGTTACCATAGCAAAGCACTGTCTATTTGCCTGCATTTAGAATTTTGTAGCCTTTCCCCGCTGTATTAATCTTAACATCTTTTGACAAGTTGTTTCTGTTTTCTGTTTTCCTCCTGACTTACATGCACAAGTAAACTGGGTTTACAATAATCTCTTTTGGCTCTCTCTGTGATGCTGCCGTTTATACTTAAATATTGTCTTTGTAAATCCAGATATGAGCCATAAGGATTGACCAATCAGCTGACTTAATTCGCAAGGGGATACCACCTTGCCTTAGCCATGTTTTGTGTTCACTCATTGTATACGGTACAACAGAATCACTTACTAATTCAACGCAGTTTGGAATAACTCAATGGAACCATTGTCAAGGCCAGCAGATGCTTTTAAGAACACAGGGAAAAGCCATGGGAGACAAAAGCAAAAAGCTTGCTGCTGAAGTTGAGCCTGTGTGAAAAGAAAAGGATCACTTTGATCCATTGAATGAGAAAGAAAACAGTGTTTCTCCAAACCGGTCTGATCACTCTGGGCTCATACTGTAAACTGGTCACACATAAGGCAAACGTGTGGACTAGGGCCAGAGGGATCATGATTGGCGGAAACACTGATAAGAATCCAGTTTAGCAACATATTTTCTTTCTTACTTTACTGAACATGCAATTACATTTCTGGAACGTTCCCCAGTCTGACAGGAAGAGAAGATGTATTATTCTCCTTAAACAGTACCGTGTGAATATGTACAGTACTTTATTCATAAACTAAAGCCAATTGTTATTGTGATGTTGCATTTGGGGAAAGTTGTATAAAGATGGACCAATCAGATGCCTTCATTCGCTGGGGAAACTCCAGCTTGCCATAGCAACCATCTTAGCGTTGCGCGAAATACGCGTGTGTGGCTGTCATGCTCAAAGATTTAAGAATAAAAAAAGTACAGGATGACAAGGGACACTAAAATCCCCACACAATCCGACCTTTATGAAAGCTGTAGGTTCTCTGTCAGCTGAGGTCGAGCTGTTTTAGTTTACATTGAGTTCTATGGGGAAAATTTCTGGGCAGCCCGTGTGAATTTAGTCTGGTTTAGTCTGCAGTACCGCGAGAATTCCCCCGAGCACATGTGTTCTTCAGCTCCAAGCTGTAATACCCTATCCAGTTATTATAATAGATCCATGCCCGAGACCAGGACTATAATAACTATAATATGATCATACTTCCTGTTTCTAGTCTGGACTTGAGCTGCACTGTTTTGAATATAATGTAGCTTTTTTCTTATAATACATCAATAAAAATTACAATAATGATAAGATAAATGTCACAAGGCTTTAAGTGATCAGACCGGTTTGGGAGAAAGTTTGTTCCTCATCTGACAGAGACTCTATTGTTTTGTGTATTCAGTTTCTCTTTTGTTTTTCGGGGGAAAAATTAAAAACATGTGAGTTCTGTCTTTTCATCTTTCATGAAGTCATATTAGTTTCATAAAAAAACTTATAAGACACAATTCTATGCATAAGAATTAATGCATAGGACTTATGTAGCGCTTTTCATGACTCTAAAAAACACTTCAAAGCATTATCAATTCCCTTCACACACAGTGGTAACAAACTACAACTGTAGTCACAGCTGCCCGGTTGCACACTCAGTAGTTTGTCCCATAGGCCTAAAAGACGAGTAAAAATCACTCATTCTAGCAAATGTGCGTGAAGTTTCTTGCCTAAGGACACAACCACAGTTTGGCACTTTACAGCTGCCCCACTGTGGCACTTGGTGTTACCATAGGTCTCCCCTCACAGTACTCACCGGGTCCTGCCCTGCTTAGCTTCAGAGGTCAGGATTTGGCTTTCACCTGCAAGTTGTGCTTAAAACGTACAGGTCACATAATATATCAGAGCACACGTGGATCAAAGAATGTGCTTTACACGTGTTCTTGATGTGGAAGAGCGAAAGTAAATGGACACAAAAAAACAATGCAGAGATGACGAGAATACACCATCAGAATTATCCAATATTCAAACATACAAGATGGACTATATTATATTTATTTGTATTTATTTGTCTATTCATTTGATAGGGACGATGCACAGTAATGAGCATCAGTAGAAAACTGCCGGATTATAGCTACCAACTAGTTTTTATCCGCCCCTCAGCAGGAAAATACATAGGAAATGACAACATACAATACAATGAAATTACAACATAACACAATACAGGCAGCACAGGGAAGAGTTAGGAGTCTAGTGGTCACATGACTTGTTTCTTTTCAGCCATTGTTTGATTTGAGTTTTAGAGCGGACCAGTGTAGGACTCTCCCGTAAGTGCAGAGAAAGACTGTTCCAGATGTTCATTGCTCTCACAGAGTGTTCTGTCCAAAGGTAGTTCTTCTAAAGAGGACCTCACAGTCTCCCCTGGAGGAGGCCCTAGTTTTCAGACCACATGAAGTCCTAGAGTATGTTTAAGTAAGGTTGATTCATTTCATTGCATACATGAAATTAATTAGGTTTACAGTCAAAAACTTTGAGAGATTGTTTTATACAGAGATTCAATTATTTTCAAATTGGTAACAGAGGTGAGAGACCAACTTGTGATGCAATTTTCAATATGGGATGAACTTGAATGACGAAATATTCTTTTAAGGTTAAATTTAACAGTGTAGCAAGTTTTTGTTATGATGATCTTATATCAGCTTCAATTCTAATGCTAACACTTGGATGGCCCACTCCTAATATAGGGTTTATGGTTTGAAGGTCAGAGGTAGTAGTCCTCGTAAGGTTGTGGTTTTTAGCTTAGTTATGTTGTATTAAATATAGACTAAAAGCAGATGTGAATTTGATTGACCCGGAATTTAACTCTGTCTCTTTCCCAAGCAAAAAGACCTGGTCTCCCCTTGTTCCTTGGTAGTCCAAAAGTGCAGAATATGAGTTAATGATAGTTAATCTGGGGGGATTCTGCTAATCCTTTCGTTGTTTGAAGAAGGAGGTGGACCTTGAAAAGCCTCCTGTCTTATCTCAAGGAAGTAATATTTCTATAGAATTAGGGAGGGGTAGTGTGTGTGTGAATGATTTCTGTTTTAGGTTTGGCGAGACGAAGGAAAAGGCCGGACCCTGGACCGGAAGCTGCCTGATACGACACGCCCCCTTCTTCCTGGACATCTGCTCTTTTTATATGCTTGGGCTTGAGGCTTGGAGTTAGTCAGCACAGGGCCAGAGAGGGACAGCATAGCCTAGTTTTAGGAGCTCTCTTTTGTTTGAATGTTCTGTATCTGATTGTCAAGATAAATTAAATACAGATGTTAAACTTGGATATCTTCGTCTGATTTCTGTACCAAATTTTGAACACGTCAGTCAAATCTTTTTTGACCCACAGTTAACAGACAGAAACAAATGAAACAGAGGTTTGATTAATACTTGTCAAACAAGGAGATAAGAATCTACAAAGTTTGAGAGCAGAAGAAATGCCTCTTTGGCATTGAACCATTGCAGTTTCCGAACCTTTTCTTCCGTTTAAGGGTTTTATTAACATCCTAAAAGCTTTCCCAACTCTCATCTTTACTGACAAACCAAAAAATTGCACAAAGCCAAAGCACAATTCTCCTCCATGACAACCTTGAACACAGTTGCCTTACCATGCATTCATCTTTGACACTGTAACCTCAAAGACAATTTGCTACATTAAACCTGTTAAAACAACTCAAAATTCTTCCATCAGTCACAGGTAGTAGTCCTCAGAAGGCCTCGGGTAGTAGTCCTCAGCAGGTCATAGGTATAGTCCTCAGAGGGTCACAGATAAGTCCTCAGAACATCACAGGTATTGGTCTTCAGGAGGTCGTAGGTAGTGGTTCTGAGAATGTCACAGGTAGTACTCCTCAGAAGGTCACAGGTAGTAGCCTTCAGAAGGTCACAGATTGTAGTCCCCTGAGGCTCACAGGTAGTAGTCCTCCTCCTCGATGTCTGCGTGAGTGTCTTTGAAGCCCAGCGTCTGGATGTCGTGCGTGATGTCAATCATACGACGGTTAAACTCCTGGGAGCCGGATCCCGAAGCGCAGTGATCGTAGCTGCAGAGAGACAGAGCCATTATTACTGCAGCATTTGGTTGTGACTATCCTGAAACATTGGTAATTCATCTTGCTGCGAGCTAACCCCTTGCAAAATCTTCAAGCCTAACCATATGAAAAATAGCAAATAGCACAGGGACTGGCCTCCTGCTGGGACTCTGAAAAGCACAGGGACTGGCCTCCTGCTGGGACTCTGAAAAGCACAGGGACTGGCCTCCTGCTGGGACTGTAATTTCATGATTTTTAATGTGACAGTGACTACCTCACAGACAGACCCCAGTTTGTGAAAACCAGGGACTTTGTGCCTGAGGTCCTGACCTGCAGTGTGGGGGACCCCCAGGGGACTGTCCTTGCGCGGTTCGTCTTCACTCTCTACAAAGCAGACTTCAGACACAACACGGACGGGTGTGTCCAACAAAAAGTTCTCTAACAACTCTGCCATAATCGGACAAGATCATCCGGAAGTCCAGGTCTGTCCTGGGCTGTTCTATGGACACATTGCAGCAGGACAGGAGGGTCCTTCTGCAATAAACATTTTTCAAATGTTTATTTTGCATTTCAAGCCAAATCGTTGCCACATCATTAAATCTATGGCTAAAATTCTGAATTCTTATTTTTTATAGTCCCTATCTTTAGCGTATGTTCCCTCTCACTGCCGTTGTCCCTTTGACCATTGCAGCAGGACAGGAGGGCCCTGTACAAACTAACATCCATGCTGGACCACTACTGTCACCCCCTGCAGGACACACAGGCGGTGACAGACATATTCACCCTCGCTGTGTGAAGGAGAAGTTCCGCAGCTCTGTCCTTTCTGCTGCTGTCAGACTGTACAACTAAAAGGGAAGGCTAACAAACACTGCCGACCTGACCTGACATTGGCGCCGGAAGGTGGCGCCGGAAGGTGGCGCCGGAAGGTGGCGCCGTGGTGGGGACTACGGATAGAAAAAAGCATGATACTTAATCTGGAGTATTAATCTTTTTAATGTAACTACACACGTCATGTCATGTCATTTTCTACCCCTTTATCAATCTATTTCTGGGTCGGGGGGTGTCATTCAGAGCTGCAACGCAAACCAGTCCCTCGCTGATCCTCGTGCTGGTGGTGGGTCCACAGGAAGATGGCTTCTCTGTCATCGACTAGATGGCCTTTGTCTTTCAGCGGGGGATTCAGGCAATGTGGGGTTAAGGGTCTTGCCCAGGGACACAACGACAGCAGACATCAGTGGGAGCAGGTGACATACAGTTGTGTGCGAAAGTCAGGGCACCCCTTTAAAAACTGCATATTTTATATATTAAAACATTTATATTCATATTTACTGTCTCTCTGGTAAATGGGAAAAAAGACAATATTGTCAGGAAACATTAATGCATAGTTACATTTTATTTTATAAATTGAACAAAATTACAAAAATTAAAAACATAATTTTGGAATGTGCAAAAGTCGGGGCACCCTGAGAGTTTCAAAGTGTCAGATTATTTTTACAAGCTCAGACCTCTACCAGCTCATTGGTCCTGAAGCATGTGTCAACAATTGTCATTAGGGAGTGCCAGCTGGTGCCAGTTTGAGGGTTTCTTAAATACGGCAACTCCACAAACCTTGTACAAACACTCAGCAACCATGGGTTCCTCTAAGAAGCTGTGAAAGACAGAAAAAATGAAAGTAATTGATGCCCACAATGCCGGGGAGGGCTACAAGAAGATAGCAAAGCGTTTCCACTCAGCTGAGTGGATAGCACTCACGCCTCTCAGCAAGAAGGTCCTGGGTTCGAATCCCGGCCGGACCAGGGCCTTTCTGAGTGGAGTTTGCATGTTCTCCCCGTGTCTGCGTAGGTTTCCTCCGGGTACTCCGGTTTCCCCTACCACTAAAAATATGTATAATAGGATTGGCATGCGCCTCCTGTTCGGCGACCCCGCTCCCATCTCTCTGTGGAGTGAGAGGACAAGTGCCCAAAAATAACAATTGTAAACCGCTTTGTGACTCTGGTCTGTGAAAGGCGGTATATAAATAAAGATTACTTACTTACTTACTTACTTTCAGCTTGCAGTTTCCACAGTGCGAGGCATAATTAAGAGATGGCAGGTGAGGGGAACTGTGGAGGTCAAAAAGAGATCTGGAAGACCGAGGAAACTCTCGGAGAGAACAGCTCGTAGTCTGGTCAGAAAGGTAAACCAAAACCCACATTTGACTTCAAAAGACCTCCAGGAAGATTTAGCAGACTCAGGAGTGGTGGTGCACCCTTCCACTGTGCGCCGATACTTGCACAAACAAGACCTTCATGGAAGAGTCTGCAGAAAAAAACCATATCTACGACCTCATCATAAAATACAACTTCAAAAATATGCAACAGAACATCTACAGAAGCCTGATGACTTTTTGAAACAAGTGCTGTGGACTGATGAAGTTAAAATAGAACTCTTTGGCCACAATCATCACTGTAAAGTACAAAGTAAATATAACTTTCTGAGTTTCGAAAACCTTATTAAATATAATCAAATTTCTGCTCTGTTTAAAATAATCCATAAGATCACTGCTCCCCCTCTGAGAAAATTTTTTACACTCAATTCGGAGAGAATCTCTAGAACCACACGGTCAACAGTCAGAGGAGAGTGCAGCGTTCCAAGACGCAAAACTGCATATGGTCAACAATCATTCTCTTATAAAGCAGCGAGCCTTTGGAACACTCTTCCAAATGAAATTATTTCATGCACAAATTATAGCACATTTACACGCCTAACCAAACAGTGGTTATTATCAAAGCAAACCTGTACGCACCCAATGACTGTGAACGCTGTAAACTGTGAGCGAGAGTGAATGATAGAAAGTGCTTTTATGATGTAAGCGTTTATGTATTATTCTGTATATATTTTATGATGTAAGCGTTTATGTATTATTCTGTATATATTTTATGAAATCTTTTAAGTATAACATCAACCTGTCCAGGGACTTGTTGGAATATTGAACTCCTGGACCAGTTAAAATTAAAATCAGTTTAGTATTGTTTCTGTTGCCAAATTAGCACTTGTTTGTGTAAATCTCAAAGAGCAGTGAGTTCAAGGTTAGTCTGTGTGAAATGGGAGGGGGACAAGAGGGAGACAAGTGGTTATCAGAGCAGGTGCAAACGTTGGCAGCGGGCCAGAAGGAGTCATAGGGTCCATACAGTTGTGATGTCAAGTGACCTTGGATGTAAAGTATAAGAGATGTGCAGGAGCGGTCACGGGGGCTTTTTCTTTTTCTCCTGATCAGGAGCAGAGAGAGACCCGAGGCCACCCCTTATCTTGAACGCGAAGCGAGACCTGTTCGCAGACCGTGTAATCTTGTAATATTGCTTGCAAATCTTCAATATAACCTTTTGAAATCAGGTTTGGTATCTGTCATTTCTATTACTGTTTTAACATTGGTTTTTGTCTCTTGTTGAACTAAAAGGACCTGCAGAACGAAGGGCTGCTGTGTTTGCGGCCTCTCTGCAGCTTCTGGGGCAGGGGAATTCTGACAAATTACAGCAGAACTTGGCGTCGCTCGAAACAGGATTCGACAGGAGACACAAGGCCCGGTCAAAGAAAAGATTAATTTGGCGCCAAAGTAAAACGGTAAGAATTGTTACCAACTAATTAATCTTTCCTTTCACCTGACTTGAGACCTAAAAATAAAAAACAAACAAACAAAAGTAGGGTAAATATTGAAGGATTTGCTTGCAAGTATTTTATATTTATTGGGATAATAGTATTCAAGTCTAAGTGACTTAAGAAAAGGAGAAAAACTGTGTGTTATCTCAGTGATTGATAGTCAACCTAAAAGGAGAAGAGCTGTGTGAGGATCTAAGTGATTTATGAGTTAAAGGAGTCAACTGTGTGTTATCTCAGTGATTTAATAGTTAAAGGAGAAAAACTGTGTGTTTTAATTAATTGACAATAAGGGAGAGGACAGGGAAAGAAACTATTCTCACTTTTAATTTTTCTCTTGGTGTGAATGAGTGATTGATGTTTTCTGTGGAAGTGACCATTGCACAAACGGTCACAGTGAACGCAGTAACTTGGGTCGCGTAGGACGGGGTCACGATTCGTGCGTACATTTCCCCACCACATTTGTGGTCGAACGGGGAGATACCACGATCTGACGCCCTAAGATTACGCACCCAATTGCTGATTCTTTACATTGATATTGATAACACAAGGCTTGTAATCTAGACGGTAGAAAACATGGCATCTGTAACATTAGATGAGTGGATAAAGGGGATTATACAGTATTTAGAGGGGACAACAGAGATTAAAAATACAACAACAAGGAGCGTTAGAACATGGTTAAAATCAAAAAAGAAAGATGGTATTTTAGCTAAGTCAAATTCACCCCCAAGTGAAGGGTTAATGAAACAACTAAGAGAATTAGTTTTGGAGAAACGTTCTCAAATGCAAAGAGAGAAGCCGTTAGAAAATAAGAAAATTCAAAAGTTGACAGATGAGGTTACTCTGATTTCAATGATGATCAAACTAAATGAGAAATGGATGACTGCTGCCAAATTGCAAAGTACAGCTCCTGATTCTTCCCCTCCACCGTATGCTCCATTGTATCCAGATTTAATAGAATTAGTGAAAAGTAAAGATTCTGCAACAATGGCTCCATTGATTACATTTGAAGAGCCAATCAAATGTACCGTGACTAGCACAGGAGAGGAGAGTCTGGATCAAAAATACTCCCAAGAGGCGCTCAGACAGGTACGGGAGGTTACGGCTCAGACCACCCAGCTTCAGAAACACATTGATCAGGTTGGAGAAATTGTGGCACAAGTGGCTGAAAGACAATTTAATGACACATTGACAAGACTGGAAAGTGAGCTTAAAAACCACACGATTCAGGGAGGCCCATCTCACTTGCAGCATACCCCAGGGACTAGGGGAAATTCATTTGCAAATGGTTTCAATGGAAAAAACTTTATTAGTCATTCTAGTCCGAAATTTGAAGAGAATACTTCTCAGGCAGAAAAAGGAGCAGGGCTGCGAGAGCA